TGAATGTTAACAGAGTTTATATACCCCCAATTGTCTCGAGTGCTGACTGTCTGTGTTGTCCTCCTTCTTCTCTTTCGTTCCCTTCCAGAAACTGACCTGCTACTTCGAAGTCTGGTCCCAGCCTTGGCTGAACAAGATGGAGTTGCTGAAGATGAGCTGTAGCTGATCTGGTTGGCTGAGACGGATTTTGCGTGCTGACACCAAGTGCAGACGGTTGTGAGTGTGTCCAGCCGCCAAGCGACCTCTTGCGTGCAGGATGGGCTCACAGCGAGCTTTGCTGCTTCCAACACGATCCCATTTATGGGCCTCCACAAATCATGAGTAAAATGGTGCGCTTAAGCCCAAAGTCGCATTTTCTGAGTTTAATTAGCCTTAATAAAGCTCTCATTCTAATTTCAGGCTTGTATTCCTTTCTTATCCAAATAATTTGGATCAAATCTTGATTTTTTCACACACACAGCTGCTGCAATGGCTTGTTGCAATAAAGCCTCTCGCTAGAAAGGCTTTGCGTTGTCCAGCTGGTGGAAATAGGAGTCCCCCATGAGCTGTTGCTTTGTCCCTTCTACGTGGTCCTTCTTAACCCGCCACTGTCCCACCTGAGAGGAAGAGAGGCCATCAGGTGCTTCTAGAAGCATCGCTGGTTGCAACTGCAATAGCTATCAGATGCTGAATGGGGAAGCAACGTTGACATTTTCCAAACTTCTGGAAGCTGCATCTTTTCTTTCTTTTCAAGTACCACAATTACAATTTTTAACATAATCGATACTACTTTCCCTCCCACATGCTTCCCTGATTGGCATATTATGCCAGTAAATATGTAATGCCAGGAGACCTTTGGCATATACAAGTTGAATTAATGAATGAACGAACGAACGAACGAATTAAAGACTTAGTGCAACATGTCTGAAGGTCATGTATCCCATGCCTTGCCTGGTTAAGAAAAGATGAGAATGAACTAAAGTCAGTGTAGCTTTTATTAGGCTGCCATCCTATTTTTTAATTAATAGGGCAAACAAATCCTCACTCTAAAAATACAGACAAGGGCTGGATGGCGGGAAAGACGCAGAAAATGGGAAGCCTTACCGCCATCTAGTAGTAGTCTGTTGTTTCACAGCCAGGAGCCACCAGCTCTGTTCTATGCTATGATATCTGACAATTCTCCGCCTTCCCCTCTATTTCTCACCCCTGCACCTTTGTCCAACTGCTCCCTTTTTGCATGCGAACATGCCAGATGCAGCATCTGCAACCCACGTCGAATGTCCTGGTGTCTGTGCTCATTGTCTGGAACTGATATCCTGTCATATCTGCTCATATACACAGTTCAGTAGTCTGCTGGAGTCACGGCCGTTGTGAAAGTCTTCTTAATGCAAGTTGTGGCCACGGCACCCACGCAGTCGCTCAGGCTTGTTGAGGCTTGTGAATGCAGGTTTCCTGCCATGATACCTTTAGAGCCCTTGGAATGCCTTCTGGAGTTTTAAATTGCATTTATTAACATTGATCTTCCCTCCTCACCACACCTTATAGAGTTGCAGCCTCTCAAAAAGGTTTTTTGGGTTTTTTTTGTTTTTTGCAAACCAACAGAATGACAAGTTGTATACAAACACATGTAAATAAATAATCAAGAGGTTTAGGGGAGAGGGAGACCCTTTAAAGTTTGTTATTTTCTTTATTATTTTATTTTGTGGAGAGTGTAAAGTTAATTTTGTTAATTCATAACCCAAGAGATTTCAAGGGGCAGGATGTTCAACTATTAACCAGCCTGGAGGCAGATGGCATAAGTGCTATGCTGATTTCTTGGAGCTGTCCACCAATTCCAGGCTCATACAATTTTAAATAGGGCTCTGTTGCCAGTGCCCTGAATATGAGCTAGATCTAAAAAAAAAAAAAAATGGAAGCACAGGTAATCCCCAGTTTAAGAATGAGGTGCGTTCCCAAGGTCTGTCCTTAAGCCAGATTTATATGTAACCAGGAACAGTATTATTGTATAATACTGTATAAGTAGCATTGTATATTTAACTCAAATCATTGTGTATTGAACGCGAATTTTGTTACAATAGGCTCCATTCTTAACTATGGGTCATCTGTAACCCAGGCGTTCTTACTCAGAGATTTGTTTTTATCATATATTGTAAAGCAGTGTTTCTCAACCGTGGTCATTTAAGATGTGTGGACTTCAACTCCCAGAATTCCCCAGCCAGCAATTTAGCTGGGGAATTCTGGGAGTCGAAGTCCACCCCCCTTAAAGTTGCCAAGGCTGAGAAACACTGTTGTAAAGGATTGGGAAACTGAAAAGCAGGTGGTCTGGGAAACTGCCCTGCCTCTTTTCCCAAACTAATGTCCACCTTCCAGGTCTGGTTGCATCCTGAATAGAGCCAAGTACCTTTGAGAGAATGAGCTGCAAAGTGGCTGTTGCCTCATCTTTGCACATGATGGGCCCAGTGTGCTACCCAGCACTAAAAGTGGCAAATTATTTTGATTCTAGCCCTTTTGGTGGCTGAGGAATTCATTGTGCTGAAACATTGCCTTTTTTTTTGGACCACGTTTGCCACCTCCCACATCCATGCCACCGGGAGAGGGCAGCTCTGTCTGCGTCTCATTAACATCATTAGCCACCGGATAATGCCCCTAATACATGGTGGTAGAAGTGGGATATTAAACACTAGAGGGTACCACAGAGTTAAGGAGTATTCCCTCCTCTGTGTGTGTGTGAGTTCCCCACACCAACCACAGGCGTTTAATTTTTTTTCTAGAGACTGGGAACAACGGATGGGCTAGATAGTAGCTGGGCAGGCTGGCGGCCGAGAAGTGGCAAGGTGTACTGGGACACCAACCCTGCCAGGAAGGCACAGGCCATAAAAATGTCTACTACAGGGGATTCCTCTCCAGAAGACAGAATGTGCAGCACCTCAGCCCTGAGGATCTTGAACTTAGGAAGCTGGAGCTGGAGGCTAAGAGAGAGGAAGAGGATGGAACTTGATCTGGAGCTTAAACGAATGAGCGGCGGGGGGGGGGGGGGAAAGGAAGGGGGGAAGGGAGGAATTTTTGGGGGGGATTAAGGAGGGGGGGGGGGGGGGAAAGGAAGGGGGGAAGGGAGGAATTTTTGGGGGGGATTAAGGAGGGGGGGGGGGGGGGAAAGGAAGGGGGGAAGGGAGGAATTTTTGGGGGGGATTAAGGAGGGGGGGGGGGGGGGAGAAAGAGCACATCGGTTAGTGTTGTTGAAGCTACAACACCAGCTCATCCTCACTAACCCTTCTTCTCCTGGGACAACCCAAACCTCTGGGGAATGGAAGTACAAATTCCCAGAGTACCGTGAAGAAGAGATGTTGAAGCAGGCTGAGCTCATTTCAGAGATACCTGTCAAGCTTACAGCATCCCAGGGGCCCAGCATGTGGCTCGCATGCGCCCTCTCCTGAAGGGTTGCTTAATCCAAATACAGGATTAACCCAAACTCTAACCCAGTGTTTCTCAATCGTGGCAAGGCTGGCTGGGGAATTCCGGGAATTGAAGTCCAAGCATGTTAAAGTGGCCACGGATGAGGAACACTGCTCTAACCTATGTGCTGAAGAAAGGACAGCTGCCAAAAATTTATAAAAACACGTACTTGAAGAAACCAGACTCTCAGCGGAAGAAGCCAGAAGGAGGTTTTGCTCGCTGTGCAAGGTGAATGCCGAGAGTGAACCGGGGTTCACCAAGAGCTTAGTTCGAGCAGCATGACAATGGTTCCAGCAGGCAGAGGCAGTGATGAGGGAGGGAACAATTGATCTCCTCCTCCTGGGCCAGAACATCTCTCCTACTCCTGACTCTGTCAGGGCAGAAGTGCAGGAGGGGGGCCCAAAGAAGAGGCAGGTCTGCTCATACGAGACCTTCAGGGAAGGCTACGCCAACTGCATCATGGAGCAGACTGAGGGGTGGAGAAGCCCCAGAACAGCCCACGGAGGCCTCAGCCAAGAGCCAACCCGCAGGCCAGCCCAAGCTCCAGTCAAAGATGCCCCACCAGCTGGGGGCAACGTCCCCATCAAAAGTTTGCTACCTACACATTTCAAGGGTAATGAGGTGGGACATTTCAAAAGGGACTCTCCCAACCTGAAATGCCAGGTCAATCATGTGTGAAATGCCAGGTGTGATGAATCCTGGGCATCATAGAAGGTTGACCAAGTTTGATGAAGGGGTAATACCTCTTAGAAGGGTGAAGGTGAAGGTGAATGGCAAACCAGTAGTTGCCTGGAGAGACACCGGGGCCTCCATTTCCAAAGTTTACTCCCTTCAGGTGAAAAGGCATCAGCTGGTCCAGACACACACCGGGAGGGTGACAGGTCTGTGGGAATGGTAACAACGCCCCGAGTCAAGCTACCCATTCAGTGAGGAGAATGGGATGGGGAGGGGAGGTTCACTGTCATGCTTGGCTGTCCAATTGCTATGTTGCTTGGGGAGGACCTAGCTGAGAAGAGACAGAAAGACCGACAGCCAGGAGAGAAAGACCCTGAGATGGAACAGAGGAAGGGGGTTCCCCAAATAATGCAAAAGCCTAGACCTTCCCCCCCAGAAAGAAGCCAATGGAAAAGATGGGGAGAGAAGTCCAGCTGGTGCAGGCCAGAACTGGTAAATACCAGGCTGATCCCAGGAGGGGCAGAGTTACCCCCGCTCAGCATCAGTCTCAGGGGGGAGGTGGAGAGGGTCCGGCCAAGGCCAGAGCCCCAGGGAAAAGGGGACGACAAAGGGAGGGAGACCCCGGAAAGGCCTGTGGCCCTGGAAGTGCCAGAAGAGGTGGCACTGACGTTTTGTGACTGGCCACGCCCACCACAGAAGCCATTTTGTGAGAATGCCCACCACATGTTCTCAACTGTGCTTATTTTTGCACATAAAGTTGTTTACCCCGATATTGCTAAGCAGTTGGTGTGCATTTTTTTAAGGAAACTGTGCCACCTTTTCTTAAAGCTCAGAGGAAGAAGAAGAAGAATTTAAACTTTTCTTTAAAAGTATGTATATTGTCAGTCTGGAGATGGATTTGTAAAGGCTGTTGAACCTTATCCCAATGTTTTTTGAAGTTACTTAATTCACCACAGATTTTGACAGGTATCTCATATTGGGCTTTTTTACAGTAATTTGGATCAGAGTCTATTTTTCAACCCACTAATGTCATGTATACCTGGCTGAAGTGATTTTTATTCTCCTAAACTAGATTTCCCTTGGAAAAGAAAGTAAAAATGTCAACGTTACATCAAATCATCGGCTTGAGCTATGACAAGAAAGCAACTAGCCCAGTCAAATCTTAATGTTTATTCTGGAAGAACAAAGCCATAGTAATTTGACCCAGTTAAATTCCTGCTGATCTTCCTACTCTGTATCGCATGAATCCTTGCACCAGAAGAAGTACAGGTAGTCCTCAGCTTATGACAGC